TTTACAGTCTCTGGGGTGGGTGAGTGGGGGAATGGGAAACCAATCACAAGGCTGGATATCTGTAACATCCTTCCCCCATGGGGGCCAAATAACAGAAATGTGGGTGAAAGGAGACAACAGTGTAAGATACAAAATAACAATGACAATATATGATTGATCAAGCATTCATGAGGGTAGAAGGGTGGGGGAGGGAGGAGAAAAAGGAGGAGCTAATACCAAGGGCTCAAGCAGAAAGACAATGGTTTGCAAATGATGATGGCCACGAATGTACAAATGCGCATGATCCAATGGATGGATGGATTGTTATGAGTTATAAGAGCCCCCCCATAAAATGATTAGTAAAGAAAAAAAAGATGTATGGTCTCTAAACTGATTGCGGTAGCCATTGTACAAGACTGCTTCGTGTGATTGAACTATGGAATGATGTGCTAGATATATTAACTACTAATTTTAAAAAAAGATTTACCGTCTCCGAAATCCACAAGGGCTGTCCTGCTCTGCCCGCCCGGCTTGCTGTGAGTGGGAACTGACTCTACAGGGGGGGCTTGTTTTGGGCACGTGCTGGCTCTGAGGAGGGTGGCACTTTCACTTGGCCCAGGTTCACCATGGTCTTTGCAATCGCATGTGAAAGGCGGTCATTGCATAAGAAAGTTCACCGAATAATAATAATAAGGAAGATCACAGAAAATCCGATGCATTAAAATCCTGGTGCTGGAAGAGAATATTGAAAGCACCGTGGACTTGGCAAAAGAGAAAACGGATCTGTCTTGGCAGGAATATTGCCAGAATGCTCCTGAAAGGCAAGGGTGGTGTGACAGTCTGGGTCCTTTACAGAAATAAATCCACAGAAACTCCTGTATAAGAGAGAGTATTATAGAAAGGTTAAGTGCACCTCAAGAAAACATCCCAACCCAGTGCTGCCCAAGCCCACAAGTCCAACATTAACCCATATGTCTGACACCAACCCACAAAGTCCTCCTCAATCTCACAAAACACACACTATGACGCCGACTGCAGGAGGAAAGCCGAGTCAGTGAACGTGTAAGCATCTCAGCGCTGGCAGGGGTCTCCACACGGCTGCTCCAGCACCCAGGCCTGCATCAGGGTAGGTCCATGTGGCTTCTCGTCAGGGATGTCTTGCAGGAAGTGAGCCCTGCCAGCTGAAGCAGGAAACTGGCTAAGGCAGCTGCACCCTGGTCCGACCATCAGAGAGCAAGAGACCCGAGCACTAGAAAGGCAAGGCTCACCGAGCCATTCATCCCTCCGCCCTTCAATGAACCCCACATGTGTTTGTTGGCCAGGTTAACACAATAAACGACCTCCGGTGGTAAAGTTTTTCTCTCATGTCCTTCGGGCGCGGTGTCAGGGGGGACCAGTGGAGGACAGCCTGCTAGTAAAGCGGAGGGGCAGTGGAAAAAGCAACGAAGACCCTCAAGGAGATGGCTGGACACGTGGCTGAAACCTTGGCCTCAGGCATGGGAAGGACTGTGAGGATGGTGGAGGGCAGACCGGGCAGGGTTTTGTTCGGTGGTGCATAGGGCCGCCATGGGTCAGAACAGACCAGAAGACACGGAACGACAACAATCACACCGATGTGACCAAACTGCTCTTGGGGAAGGACCTGGGTTACGTAGGGGGTCAGCCGTTTCAACCCACCAGCCATTCCACAGGCTGCAGGTGTGGCTGTCTGCTCCCATAAAGAGTTTAAAGGTCTCTGGAAAAACCCACAAGGGCCATTCTTTTCTGACTCGTAGAGTCGCTCTGACACAGAATCGACTCCACCGCTGTGATCCAGTGAGCGAGCTCTTGGGCCCAGATCCCCAGAGACAAAGAAGGAACCCATTCTGCCCCCTCCCTTGAGCCTTGAACCTGTGGCTTTGGGCGTTAAAATGTTCGGAATGTGTGTTCTTGTGTTCCCTCCCGTCAGCTACTTCCTTCTGCCCGACTGTGGAACGGAGGAAGAGGAAAAGGACTTGCAGCTTCAACGTCTCCAGTTACTGCCTCCATCTCCTTAGGCGGGTGTCAGACCTGGGAAAGCTCACCTGGCGGGCTCCCCCGGAAACCAGAAACGCGCTGGGGGCGGGGTTGTGGGAATCTCGCTCGGCCGTGACCTCCACCTGGTGGTCAAATGTCCCCATTACACCCGGGCAGATTCTTCCCTCCGCTTGGGGTGGGCGGCACAGCTTGTACCTGGCCACTTGAAAGGCCGAAGGACAATCCGTTCATTTGAATCGTGATGCTGGCGAAGCACCATAGACTTCCCAAAGAAGAAACAAATCTCTCTTGGAAGAAGTACAGCCAGAATGCTCCTTAGAGGCCAGGATGAGGGGGCTTCATCTCACGCGCTTTGGGCACATGATGAGATGTCCCTGGAGAAGAGCATCATGCTTGGTGTGGTAGCTACATGCTTTCGTGTCAACTTGATATATGGAATGTAGGGGTGGAGGCTAACCTGTCAATCAGGTCCTTGTGGGTGTGGCCTTCTCATAAGGATCGTCCTGGGAACCTCTCTCTTTCCCTCTCTCCCTTCACCAGGGGGTTGCTACATTTCACGATGGGCTCCCTAGAGCAGTGGTTCTCAACCTGTGGGTCGCGACCCCCTGGTGGGGTTAAATGACCTTTTCACAGGGGTCACCCGATTCATCACAGTAGCAAAATGACAGTGATGAAGTAGCAACGAAAATATTTTATGGTTGGGGCCACCACCACACGAGGGACTGTATTAAAGGAAGGTTGAGAACCACTGGCTTATAGAATCTGATTGCTCCTCTCTACAGACCACCTCCAGGCACAGAGAAAAGCCAGATGCAGAAATGATTCACCCTTTCTGGTAGTTCTTTTATGACAGTTCCTTTGTAGGGGGTTATTGGAGGGACTATGTCCAGTCATGAGAATGTGTATTAAGATTTATTTCCCTTACCGGGTCGGCTTTCCTGACCCGCCCTTATGAGCATAAAGGATTGAGCTGCATTACATCCTCATCCTGTCCCTCGGTTTAACACGGGACTCGACGGCTAGCAACTGACTTAACGGTTGATTGGAACCTACTGAGGCACCACGGAAGAAAAGCCTGGCGATCGGACTTCCCTAAAAGATTGTCGTCCAGAAAACTCACTGGAACGCAGTTCCGCTCTGGAACACAGGAGGTCACCCGGAGGTGGAGTCAACAGCAGGGGAGCCCACCTGGTTTCACACTTCGTTTCAGGCCCCTCGAGTAAACGACACCTGGCGCGCCCACGTGTGTCGGGGGAGAACTGCACCCCAAGTGGTTTTCCAGGAGTGTGATTTTTCTGAAGCCCATGTATATAGCTAGGGGGATTCGCCCTCCCCGCTTTCAAATGGCCAGCCGGGGCACGAACTCTCCTCCCCGCTGACACCGCCCCAACCCGCCGGACCCCCACCCCACCCCCAGCACGCCAGTTGCTCTCTTGCCGTATAGCACGGTTTATCTGGTCTCTCGGGAAGCCCTGGTGGCGCGGTAGTTAAGCGCTCTACTGCTAACCAGCCCTTGGAATCCATCAGTCGCTCTGGTGGGAGAAAGAGGACGCTGCCTGCTCCCATAAAGGTGGACGATGTGGGGAACCCTGGGGGCCAGGTTATCCTCTGTCCCTTAGCTTCGCTGTGAACCTGAAGCGACTCAATGACAAAATGAGATTTTGATTGTTTTTCTTTCTTTCTTCTTTTTTTTTAAACGGATGTTCTACAGTCATACAAACGAACTCACTAAATGGGGAGCTGATATCAGGGGCTCAAGTGGGAAGAGAATGCTTTGAAAATGAGGACCTAATGCCGGGGTTTAAGTGGAGAGGAAATGTTTTGAGAATGATGAGGCCAATGAATG